GAATGTTAAGATATGAACAAATTAATTTGTAAGAAACGGAAGCATAAGGTTCATTTTGCCATACCCTGTATCAATTCTCCCAGTCGTTTGTCCTTTCTACTCAATTTTTTAATTTTTTCTCTTTTTATAACTAATATAGTGGGACGAAATTTTTGGTTACCCTTCTACTCTATTTCCCAAATTAACATTTAAAATTGCCACTGACTAGTAGTGTGTCTGGTTTCTACATATGCCTAATCATAAATTATTACTAATTGATATGTAGGCCATAATTAGTAATCGACAGATTTGCGAAAACCGCGATGTATATTCACATACATATTGCCAACTGTGTATCCATTGTAAATAATTCTAACACTATGTACAAATAAACAGTTGAGTTTCATTCATTTGTTCTTTCTATATATATTTTTAAAATGTTTGCTGACAAAATATTTACTATAAACTACAAAATCCGAGTACGTGTTCATTATGTTTCGCTTTGTTTGAGAAAATTGTTAAACGTCAGTAAAAATAATCATAGTAATATTTACCGTTAATTGAGTATTTGAACTAGTAGTGTGTGTACCTATGTGTAATCAAGATATTTTCCTGTAAGGTGTAAGGTATGCGATTAAGCTGTTTCGCATTTCCATAACAATGAAAATAAGTAGGTACATGTAAAAACCAGCAAAGTACTGATTAAAGTACCAAGTTTGACCATCTATGAAATTATTATAGTATACAAAATTATTGAACTGATTCTTCTTATGGCGGCATTATCTACCTTGACAAAATTGCATTTTTAATAACTGAATCAGAGTGTTAACATTCATTTTTCCAGGATGATTTATTTTTACTTTTCACGCCTACTGGTAGGGAAGTATTGTAATCGCGGAAATTTTGCTTTCTGGATATTATGCGACATGTACATACGTATATCACGAAAAACCATGTCACTCATTGCCGTTGAGCTGTCAGTCTGTCTGTCCGCTAACCTTATACTCGTAAACGCATATAATTTGAGAAGTACCGCTCGGATTGCATTGAATCTTCTACACAATTTTAGTACTAGGCCAGTGGCGGCAGAGGAAAAGGCCAAAACGAAAAAAAAAACCTCAAACTTCGTGTTCTGGGGGTGGATGAGGGTATATTCCAATTTTTTTATGTTGGTATATTTGTACGCCTCCGATCCCAGTAATTATATTTACATATTAGACATATTTCCCTGTACATTTACCCTTAAAACTGAGAAATATCTCCAACCGTCGGGTGACGATACGTGCGACGTGGTCTCACGATGGAAAAGCGTCGTCGTCGGTGGTCGTGCATCACAGTCGGCAATCGTCTCCGCACTGTTGTGTGCACTGTGCAAGGTGAAGGCCAATATCGTCATTCACGCGGGATTGGTTATCGCAACGACTATTGGAATTCCTGTCAGAGGAAGGAGGAAGGTCTTTAAAATTTTTGTTATCAATGTATGTGCCAAACAAAATCCTTTACGCACTGATGACAGCGTTGCGTGGGACGTACAGAGTCAACTTACTTGACGCCCTTATCGGAAAAATAAATTTGAAAGTCGTACATTGAAGGAGAACTTATCCAAGCCCTCTACATTTTCCGCCAACATAATTAGCCAATGATATTTGATTTTTACTGTGGGTACAGCTATCCTGACATGACTATTCATATCTTTCCTACGTATGTCAAACCTTCTTGGAAGAGGTATAGTCCAAACTAAGAGCTCAGCGCACCCAAAAGTTATTACGAAATTTTACGCTCAAGCTTTTCCACGTTTCAGGCATAGAAATTAGTCAAAACGCTCGGCGTACAGTTTTTGAAGGCAAAATATTGATACCCCAACGAAATGAGTTTTGAAAATCATTCCTTGTCACTGATATCTACCAGTAGTTTACTATTCAAGCTATGTACAGTATATTCAGATAAGAGATAGACCGGATGTAAACAAAAGGTTCGGGTGATTTTCACGCTAACGCCGCCGTCTCGACGTAAAACAGGAGCCCTCATTGGTCAATTCGCAATTAAATGCCTATGCCGAGCGGCAGAGCAGTCGTATCAAGGCAGAGTCACATTCAGGTTCAGACGTGTTACGTATGTCGTGTGCATCATTGCAATTTGATATTTCTTTGGACGTTTTCGTTTGTTATCTTATTAAGTTGTTGAGTTTGTCGTTGTTATTGTTATACCTTGTTATTGATTGTTATTGTTATCAACTGCTTGCGCAAAATGCCCAGTAGTACAGATACTGCCGATGAAGTTGTAAACTCCTGTAGTCCACCTAGGAAACGCTCTAAAAAAAGACACCTGAGTGCAGAAATGAAAGAGATCATTTTGATCGAAATCGAGCGCGAGGAGAACGAGGCATCAACCATCAAAGAAATTGTTGTGAAGGTTTCTCACAAAGTTGGGGTGTGTCGCGCATCAGTGTTTAATGTGTTAAGACAATACAAAAAAATCACACCTTTTCTGAGCCAATGACCAGTAAACATCGCAAAAGTATTGTTAAATCATTGGATGAAGCTGATAAGCATGCGATTAGGAGTAAAGTGCATGAATTCTTCTTTAGGAATGAAATACCTACTATAGATAAAGTACTGCAGGAGGTAAATGGAGATACAACGTTGCCAAATTTCAAACGATCAACTTTCCATGCGTTACTGAAGCATTTAAATTTCAAATGGAAAAAACGGGGTCGTAATAGTTTACTACTGGATAGAGAAGAAATTGTGCTATGGAGGAGGGATTATTTAACAAAAATTGGGAAATATAGAAATCAAAACAGGAAGATTTATTACCTTGATGAAACGTGGGTAAACGCAGGACACACTACAAGTAAAGTATGGGTTGATGATTCTGTAACTTCATCCAGGAGGGCCTTTCTAGATGGACTGTCCACCGGATTAAAAAATCCAGCAGGTAAATACGAGTAATAGACAACAATCGGATGTTTTTCAAACCTTGGAACAAGATTCTAAACATTAATTCCAGGGGGCAGATAAAACATATTACAAGTAACAAAACTTTTATAACTTTCGATAAAATGCGTGGATGTTTTATTGTCATTTTCATTTGTTAGAACTTTTTTAAGCCATGTTTTTATGTGTTTTCGATATTTCAATAATTTTTTAATATAATCTTAAAATATGTCGAATATTATAAACTTAAAAAAAGTTACTAAGTTTTATATTGTGTACCGTTCCTAATATTTCTAATCATTTTAATTCATACTTTAAGCTTTATAAAGTTATAATTTGTTAATATTAATATTTGCGCGTATTTCAGGTTCCTGATCATTCATTTTTTAAAGGTTTATAACTTGAAGCAATGCTGAAAGTACAATTATTAAGAATTGTCAAGGATCACAAGGCGGAATATCAAAAATACGCCATTGACGAAATGGCAGCAAGTCAAAATAAAACTGTGCTCCGTTTACCTCCATACCATTGCGAGCTCAATCCCATTGAGCTCATATGGGCAGAGGTTAAAAATTATATAGCTAAGCACAATACAACTTTTAAATTTTGTGACCTCAAAGGACTTTTCAAAGAAGCACTAGAATTAATAACAGCGCAAAAATGGGAAAACTGTATTAAGCACGTGAAAGACAAAGTTGAAAAGAGAATGTGGGAACTGGACAATATTTTAGAGGAACAAGTCGAGCCATTCATTATTGACGTTGGTGCTTCAGGCACTAGCGATGATGAAAGCTCATCAAGCTCATCTTTCCAATAAAAGATGTCGTTCATCAAATTCGGTAAGTTATAAGTAATTATAAAGCTACTGTATTTTTTAATTAATTATTGACATTTTTGAACCCATTTTGGCAAAACCTATTCAAGAATCTACTTTCTGACAATGTTCAACCATGCACATTTTTTTACGTTTTGAACGTTTTAATTTGGTTACATATTTACCTAGAAATCAAAAAATATACTAATCAATATTCTAAAAGCAATTTTAAGAGATATACGATTATTTTTAATTTAGGCTAATTTAAACGCCATTTTGAGATTATATTCGACTGTATTTCACCAAACATCAGGCGGCATCCGAAGCTGGAAATCGAAGCGAAAATTTTGAAACCCTTATGTATATTTACATCATTATATATTTCTTACCCCACCCCCACATGATCCTATATCCATCACCAATCGTATACACATCGAATTGTGCTAATTTACTACAAAGTTACGCAAAGCAGCATCTACTATCTAAAATATGTACTGCGTGACTCTTAATACGTCCCTGCCGAATGTTACAGCGTTCGATGACCACGTGGTCTTGTTTATGTCCGGTCTATCTCTTATCTGAATATACTTTAGATGTTTCAAATGTATTTTCGACATTGATATTGAACCTTCGAGTTTCAAATGTTTTGCAAAAAAGAAACTCCTGGATAGTGACTTACTGACACCAAATGTTGTGTTGATGAAAAGAAGGCGGAAAAAACCTGATTGTTATTTGGTTGTTGCCACGTCTAATCTTCCTAATTGCTGTTTATGTTGGTAGTTTCCGTTTTATATTATAAACGAATTGTAGATTTGGCAAACCTTAACCGGCAACATTTTGAACACTTATTGAAATAAAAAGTGATATTTTCGTGTGTTTTTGTTTTCTATCTGAACAAATTAAGATAAATAAAGAATTTTCTGATATTCTAAAACGAATCGACCGGTTTTAAAAAGTCAAACGTCAAAATAAAGACCTTTCAAACAAGCTATTATTCGATACCCCTTGTCATTTAAAATTTTTAAGGGAATGACTCTGGGGAGCCGAGGCTGAAAGGGGGTGAAGTAGTTTTTGGTTTTAATCAGTGGTTTTCGATAAATCCGAGGTGGTAAATTTTCAAATGAATTTATATATATATATATATATATCTTCGTTGGATTTATTTCTTACATCCCCCGTTTTGTGAGAGTTTTCAATACTCGACGGAAGTGTTAGCGATTAACTTCCCCCTTTCCGGAGTTGTAGTAATTCCTTGGAGTTGTCCATTCCAGGGCATGGATAGATTCAGCAGCGCGTTATATGGGGAGCAGAGCAGAGACGACTGGATTGGAGTATTGACGCAGTAGAAAGCGCAAGCGCCAACAAAACCCGGAGCCGGTACGTTATATCGGACGTACGGCACGGGAGCGACAGCCTTGTTGCTTTTATTTTGCCTGCTACCGCTCAGCGGCGCCCGTCAGTGGATTTGCTGACAAATGCAATAATAGAAAATACAACCGAAAATTCCAGCATTACATATTTCTTAAAGTGCCCTGCAGATTCCTGTGTAGACGTCTATTGATATTCCTATCAAACATTTTTATTGATTGTAGCATTTTGAGGGTCCTGGGACTTCTTTACTCCCGTCCATTGAAGTATACTGCCGTACTTGGGTATGATTCGGTAAAGTTCATTTACTGCCCTTATTAAATTTTGGTTCATTTTTTTCATGATCAAGAACAAAATATATCATTGATTACGTTATTTAACTAAGATAGTTGGTTTTTCACTTTGTCAAATATTTCACAATACTTTCATTTCCTAAGCATAAAGCAGTAAATTAATTTTTCAAAGCAAAAAAGCCTTCAAACTAGACTACTTTTAACTTCTGTACGTACGAATACTGTCTTTTATAACCCATTAAGATGTTTACTTATTTAGTTTTTTATGTTATAATATATTATTTTTGAATAAGTATTCATTGTAACAAATAATTACTTCTGCTCCGAAATGATAATTTTGAAAAATATTATGTTTAACTTAACATCTAAAAAAACATCTTATTTATATAATTATTTCTGTAGAATTTAATCATTAAATGTAATCATATTTATAATAATTAAATTGAATTATTAGATGTTGAAATGATTTGTTTTTGTGCAGTTTATGTGTATTTCAAAATGACTAAAATATATGAAAATAAAATAAAATTTTGCATTACTGCGTTTTTTCCTTTGAAAAAATAACATAAATAGATTATGAAAACTACGAAAAAAAGGCTATACATTTATTTTTTCAGGATACAAAAGCAGTAAATCACTGCTTTTTGATTTTTAATAATTAAAGACAGAATGTCATTTATTTTCTGCCTCAACAACATCTATGATCTGAAATCACATTAAAATGACTTTTTATAAAGTCATGTAGTTTTGCAAATTTTCTTTCACTACTATACAGTTGTAATAATACTATTTATTTAGTTCGAAAATATCCAGAATTATTGACTCAATTTTTTCAGACTATGATTTTTATACTTCATTGTCTTTTACCTAAATACAAAGTACCCAGCTATCATATTTTTATTCCTGTTCCTAGCCCTCGTCCTTTATTCTACCTTGGCGACTGAGTCGTTGGAAACTGTATTACTCGCCACGTAGCACATGTCCATCTTAACCAGTTTTATATCGGTGAGGAAATATTGTAATCACAAAAAAATATCGAAAATGAGAGATTATGTCTTTTAAATATCGACATCTACATCACGTAAAACAGTGTCACTCATTTCCGTCCGTTTGTCTGTCTGTCCGCTAATCCTTAGTCCGTCTACACCGATCGGATTTTTATGAAATTTTCAGACAATTATACTACTGTGCCAAAGACCAAAAAGCTTTGTAGTTTCTAGAAATCTATCCATCAGCAGGTTTGCCTATTAGAGGTATCTCATACATTATACATTTGATCTTGAATGACAAGGAAATATTTTCAACACGCACGACTCTAGGTTGTGATCTTACCGAGGAGTGTCTGTGTTTCTTTGCTTCGTAGTCGGTGGTGGCTATCATGATGCCGAGGCTGACGTATGGAGAGCGGCGAGCGGAAATGCATGGACGAGGTTAGTCATAGCAACGTTGCGAGATGGTCGTTATTATCGGTAGTGCAGGAACAATTTTCTGTGGACTAATTGTGTGGGCCTGTTTAGCTGAAATGCTACATTTATTTTTTGTTTATTGCTTGACTTGATCCATATATTTTTTGTTGTACATTTTCGTAGCTAACTGTCTTTCAAAGAGGAGCTCTAACCCCAGTAATTCTACGCACATATTAGGCATATTCCACCCATCATAGATGTCCCCGTACATTTACCCTTACAACAGAGATATTTCCTAGGGTCGGGTGTCGATACGTGCGTAGTCCTCCGATGGCCAAGCGGCGTCGTCCGTGGTCGTACATGACAGTCGGCAATCGCTTTCGCACTACTGTGGCTGTGTGCACCGTGCGCTTGATGAAGGTCAATATAGTCAGTTACGTGAGATTGGTCATCGCAACGATCATGTGCGCCTGCAGCAATTCCTCTTAGGGATTTATTTTATCCATGTTCATAGCTAACTTTTTTCTCAGAAGGGTTAACTTGTGCCAAACATAATCTTTTACGAACTGATAACAGCTTAGCGTGGGAGTTCGCCTACTTAACGCCATTTTCTAATTTTCACCGTTCTGTACCTAAGGCTTAATCCAGGTTTTTATCCAATACAAATTTTCGAAGTCTCAAAAACTTTATTTTAGCTTACCCGATCCTACATCTTATTTCTCACCTAGATCCCATTTTTTAATTCATCGTAGTAGTAAGTATTTAAATAGTTATGTTCGGTGACATCCCATTCCAGAGTAGGGGGTATGGCTAATAAATGACAGATGAGACCAAAATAAAGCAATTGAACCTATCATACTTAAGTAAAATATTGCTTATCTTCGTTTCACAGTTTGACAATTTTTTCAACGATTTTTAAATAATATGTTATATGTTAAATTGTCATTCTTATGTTAACTTTCGTTCTTCATAAGGCTTAATGTTTTAACTCTTTCAACAGATAAATGCTTATATGTATTTAGACTTCTTGTCAAATAAATATTTTCATCTCGCTTTGCCAACAAAAAACATCATTTTTATGCATATATTTAAAAAAATATGTCCAAAATATTCCATTACTACCAAAGTCGCTGTTAGAGACAGAATTTCTGGTAACTTCACTTCAGAATATGCATACAGAAAATTGCAGCTCTCAATTTGCTCGGCACAAAATTTAAAAGACGGTCAAAATTTTAGCATGTAAGTCCGTGTGATGCATTATAAAACATGCACTGTATATATGTATAAAACTCGAAGTTTTTGTGTTTTCTATCGATAAGGGTACTGAACAATACAGTAATTACGTAAAACTTATAATATGTTCAAATTTGCACAGATATGTGCAGGAAACTTGGTGCCACCTAAATAACTAATATCTCCAAGAAGGTGCCATAATAATCGCTCGATCTTTTAAATCTTGACTTTTTAGAAGCATTCAACAAATTCAATTTGAAATTGTCAGATGTCAATATTTTGGGCAAGTGGTTTTGCAAGACCGCAAGAGTCTTGCATCATAGTCTTGCTGCCCGGTTTTTCGTCTTGAGAAGCCTTAGCTAGAAAATAACAATTCCTAGCTATTCATGGATATCTTATAAATGACAAATGGTTTTTCCAAAAAGCATTTGGGTCATCATTTTTTAAAGACTAGTACGGTTTATGATTGGAATTAGAATTGATAATAAGAATACCTACCTGCCTGAGCAGTGCACGTAGTTCAGGTCTTTGCTCCTGTTCTATCTATATTGCAGTTCAGACACCCTCATCGTAAATCAGACGATATTGGTATTAGTTGGAATTATATTATAATTCTAGATTTCAGATTTTGATAACGATAACTTAGACACATGTCTTAAAGGAGATGAACGATAACACTATCAAAAGTAAATAACAACAAACAATAGGTTATTTTTAATTCTGGAACATTAAAAAAATATTTGTATTTCTATGATGTCTGTATTCCTCTATCTTCTCTTGGACGTCTTATAATCCTTATCATAAAAAGACATATATCAATGATTTCTTTCACGAAAAAAAATAAAAAATAAAAATAATTCACGAAAGGATGTAATCATACGTTTAACCTCAATATAATGATGAGGAATAAATAATTCTGTCAAAAATATTATGAGCTTGGTTTTCATATCTGTTAGCTTCTTTCATATTGGTGTGCTTTTAATTGCATATATAATAAAAATAATAACAAAATGTTTATTTTCCAGAATACAACCGTAGAGTATAAAACAAAACAGAAAAATAGCATTAATTTAAAATAAACGTAAAAGAAAGCATAATAAGTGACTTTCTATAACATGCGTAATATTTTATGACATATCTCATAAGTCTAGAATATTTTTAAATTGTCGTGTAAGGTCCGTGGAAACCAAAATAGCTGGTTGTACACGGTTAGTTTTTTGTATAATTTTGATAATAAAATTTGCCGAGAGCAGGATGTTACCAAGGGCACCCCCCTACACCCTGGTGTGCCATTTTTTTTTCAAGAAAATCGTATATATTGCTGTATCTTGGTGTAAAAATTGCCTTTCTAGACCTGCACTCCTCCCCCACTAAACGTATATTTTGCTCTCACAGAAGCATAGACAGATTCTTAAATCCGCCGTTGGATGTTACTATAAATCAACCAAATTTATAACAAACACATTAAAAGTATTCTTGGTTTGCTTTTGACATTTTGTGATACCTCCACATGAAGCTCTGAATGAGTGTACTTACTGGTCTGTTCATTACATTTACAACAGTCTTGAAGATTGGAGGTTTTCGACTGTAAACTTTTAATGGAGCTTTTTTAATTGTAAGCGGTGCGCCACTGCCTCAAACTGCCCAGCCAACACGCGAGATAAAAACTAACAGGTCTAATCTAACGAACCGACATTATTACCAGATAAAATTAGTGTTATACGAAGCTTATCCCTTTATCAGGATCGATTATACCTACAATTAGGCGCCATTGCCAACAAAATGAATACCAGATTTCATTAGGTGAATTTTTACTCTTTTAGTTTGTTAGCCTGTAACTCGCGTAGTTTTTAGTTAGCGGAAGGCGATTTTAGCATTGTTGAGGTATAAATACGTAATTAATTGAATTGCATCACGTCTTGTTCGATCAGTTGTCAATCACGTGAACCTTGCCGTATTCTATTTTAACCATCTAATCATTCTATGCTTTTTCTGTACTTAAATTAATTTCTTATTATTATTATTATTATTATTATTATCATTATTAGATATCATATAAACTCTTCCTTCAGTAGTGAATGAAGCTTAGAAAGTAACCAAAGAAAAAAGTTCCAAGTCGTGAGTGCAGGATCGAGTCAAGAAAACATACGTGGTACCGCAGCCGCATGTGTCCAGGCACGAGTCACTTGTTTTCACT